TGTATCTGTATCTGTATCTGTATCTGTATCTGTATCTGTATCTGTATCTGTATCTGTATCTGTATCTGTATCTGTATCTGTATCTGTATCTGTATCTGTATCTGTATCTGTATCTGTATCTGTATCTGTATCTGTATCTGTATCTGTATCTGTATCTGTATCTGTATCTGTATCTGTATCTGTATCTGTATCTGTATCTGTATCTGTATCTGTATCTGTATCTGTATCTGTATCTGTATCTGTATCTGTATCTGTATCTGTATCTGTATCTGTATCTGTATCTGTATCTGTATCTGTATCTGTATCTGTATCTGTATCTGTATCTGTATCTGAATCTGTATCTGAATCTGTATCTGTATCTGTATCTGTATCTGTATCTGTTTCTGTATTTGTATCTGTATCTCTGTATCTGTATCATATCTGTATCTGTATCTGATTAAAATACTGTATACATTTGGCAGAGAGCATCGAATGATTTGCCAGATGCACGAGGCGAAGCAGCCCAAGCCATAATTTATTTATCTTTCTATTATTAAGAAAAAGGTGGAAGAAGCGCTAAAGAGTTCCGCGTATCGTGTCTTTAATTGAAGCAACATATTCCCCTCGTAATTATTTTTGCTCTTGCTCTCGCTCTATCGCTATCTCCCTCTCCCTCTCTGTAGCTCGCTCGCTCTATCCATCTCTATCTGTGTGTAAAAATGCGAGCAGGAAGCAGTTAGCATTAAATTATTTCAACTAATTTGCTGTAAATGATATTTGGCAATGCTCATTATTAAAATGTGTGTGTAGGTGTCTGCCTGTGTGTGTGTGCGTGTGTGCTGCCCTGCTGGCTGTGCGTGCTCATAAGTTTGACAGCACAAGGAGCAGCATCTGGGCCAACATGTGGTATGAGTGATGTGCTTCAGCTGGATACACAACCGTGCACCTAAATAATAACAGACTGTTTATTTTCGCTGTTTACCTGACGTGGGCGGCCAGAAGGGTTGGGGCGTGCCCCCAAAAAACAGAGAAGCGCCAGCCAGCAAAGGAAATGCCAAGGCCTGAAATGTTTACTTAAATTTACTTCAAATGTAACTAATTAAATGCTTTGACGCAAACTAAAAGTCAGCAGAAAAACAACACAACACTGAAGGAATATTTTAACATTAGAGGCACTCCTCCACCCAGAAGAAAATTATCAAAAAATATAAAACAAATAAATTTATTAGTAGAGTTAATTTACAATATCAAATAAAATCGATGCTGAAATGCTTTGGCAACGGAAAAGCTGTGCGAAAGCATTTGTTTTTGTTGTCGGCTCCTTCCGCTGCCGCATTTGTTGGTATTTTAGGCAATTTAATTACATTATGTCAGTGGCATTCCCAAAGCCTTTCCAATTATATTTCAAATGAAAATTAATACAAAGCCAAGAAAGCGAATAAACAGCTAACATGAACATGCATTTAGCAAAATTGGGCGCTCGCTTCAAGCAGAAAATGTACAGCAACAACAACAACAACAAATAAAATAAAATACAAATGAAAATGAAAATAAAAATTATACATGTATAAATTTAGATACATATATATAAAGATCTGCAAATTAGCTTAAATTTTGCACGCACCACTGAAACGCAGTGGCCCGCACGGCTCAGTTCCCAGTTGCCGGCGATGGGAAGTGATATAATTGCTGGGGCCGGAAACGTTAACTGACTGAAAGAGTGACTCGACTCAACTCAACTCAACTCGACTCGACTCAACTCGACGCGACGCGACTTCACTCAGCTCGACTCAAACGCCAACGCCAACGCCAASTGCAACAGCGACTACTCAGCTTAACTGGCAATGGGGACTAGAGCAAATGGGATTATGAAGTAAGTTGTTAGACCAAAGAGCAGTTACCCTACATGGCTGATGTGGATAAAAAATATTTTGATTTCTTTAATATATTTAT